GGAGCCCTCAGCACAAGAAGGACATGGACCTGTTGGAGCGGGGCCAGAGGAGGGCTACTAAAATGATCCGAGGGGTGGAGCCCCTCTGCTCTGAGGCCAGGCTGGGAGGGTTGGGGGGGTTCAGCCTGGAGAAGAGAAGGCTGCGGGCAGAGCTGAGTGCGGCCGGTCAGGGCTTCAAGGGGGCCCAGAGGAAAGGGGGGGACAAGCTTTTTAGTAGGGCCAGCTGGGACAGGACAAGGGGGGATGGTTTTAAACTAAACCAGGGTAGGTTTAGACTGGATCTAAGGAAGAAATTCTTTATAGAAAGCTGCAGCCCACAAGCACCGTTCTGCGTAGAGAAGGTGGTGTCAGCTGGAATGCCTCTGCCCCGAGAAGCGCTGTGCGAAGGAGCACCTGCACGAGCGGAAAAAGGACCCGGAAAAGGCAGAAGCAGGTTAAAAATAGCGCAGTAGAAAAAGACGCAAAGAATTCCCATTAAAGGTGTCCTTCTCTCCGCGTTCTGCGCTTCCCTTTGCTCTCAGATGCGAATTCCGTTTTGCCGGCTCTGGAAGCGGTGCTACAAAAAGGATGCGGGAACCAACAAATCAGGCGCTGGGCACATCAGCGGGCACGGGAAAACAGGAATTCAGCAAGGTCTGGAAAAACGCAGTGGAGCCCGACGGCCAGCCGGTGGCAGCAGGCACTCGCCACAAAGGCCTTTCCTCCCTCCACATGCCCGGCTCCTGGCTGGGGTGCAGGATTCCTCTTGGGAATCCGGTCTGCATCCCAGGAATGCTTGGAGAGCAACGGTTTGGACATCCCTCGGTACCTCTCCAACCTGCTGTTAAAATTCAGGGGATTCTCCAGACATACGTAGAAACTGTTCTAACCAGGGTGGCAAAGAAATAAGCCTGAATTTTGCAAATCCCGGTCGCCTGGCGCTGTTTCTGTGGGCCTGGGAGCTCTCGGCCTCGCAGCCGCTTTCACTCCGGCCCCGTTTCAGCTGCCGCTTCGCCTGCCTCCGAATGGAAACAAGAACGTTTCTACC